GAGACTCAGGTTTGGTTGCAACCCTAAGATCCATGGGTTCCGTTTCACTTAAATCAGGTGATAAATTCGATTGACTTACTTCCAACTAGAGATTACCTAAGTCGCCATCAGAATTATCCAGAATTAAATCAGAATTATCCAAAACTAAATTAGAATTATCCAAAATTGAATCAGCATTATCAGAATTATCCGGAGTCATCTCAGTAGGTGTTACAACTAAATCAGGATCTTTCACTTAAATCAGGTGATAAATTCGATTGACTTACTTCCAACTAGAGATTACCTAAGTCGCCATCAGAATTATCCAGAATTAAATCAGAATTATCCAAAACTAAATTAGAATTATCCAAAATTGAATCAGCATTATCAGAATTATCCGGAGTCATCTCAGTAGGTGTTACAACTAAATCAGGATCTTCCAAATTTAAATTCAAAGTGTTCGAAGTCCAATTGGCTCCTTTTGAGATCACATTACTATCATCCAGGCATACGTTGTCCAAAGGCTTATCCTCGAGGAGACTAGGATCGGGGTGGGTTAAGGTTTCGATATTTAAAGGTTCTTGCTTTCCTAGCTCAGGGTTTAAATCATTCAGGGAGTCTGATTCAATCTCTTTAGTTTCATCCTCAAAGAATTCTTCGTTATTAAAGATATCATTAGCATCCACGAAATGGATGCACTCAGTCTCAGGTTCAGGGGACCTCTTCTTCTTAATGCCTTTCTTTATTAAACTTACACTCGTAGGGTCAGGGACTGGGGAGGCTAAAGGTTGACTGAGATTGCTAGAAGTGGGTCTCAGTGGGGAGTCAAAAGAGGTTGATCTATCAGAATACCCAATAGAGGATCGGCCATTAAGGTTAGGTGAAGACCTACAGGGTGGGGCAGCAACCCTAATGTTATTAAATGAAGGTTGGTTTCGACTATAGTGATGTCCATGGTTTGTCCCAACGAAAGAGGTAGGGTGATGCTCTAGACGACAGTCTTTAGTAGGGGGTCGGTATTTCAAATTAATTTCTCGTCTCATGTCTTTCCAAGTAAGGTACTCACCGCAAGACTCTCTATGATCTTCCAATCTTGCCCAAATTGAAGAGCTCGACCTTTAAGGTGAGACTTAGCGATGTTAATCTGGTGGGACTCAGGGATATGACATGATTCAAAATAGTTATCTAGTTATCTAACCCATTCCCTAAAGCAGTAAACGTCCAAAGAACCATCAAAGGTAAGCAGACGATAAGGTGACTCTAAGTGAGGTCGTGGAGGCCTAGGCTCAGGTCTCGAGTGATAAGCTGAGTGGGGCATGCAATTAGAGTGGGGATCGTCAACGGGTTTCTCCGTCATAATTCTAGTCATATTGCCCACTAGGTTAATGATGTCATCTAAACTCTTTTGGAGTCTTATCAGGTCCATTGGGAAGCGTCAAGTGACACTCAACGACGATTGGGTGTAAGGGACGTCATTTAAACACTAAGTTAGGCTCACTTAGACTCACTACAAGGTGCAGAAAATGTTCGGACAGCAAGCTACAAAGGTGGTTTAAGAAATCTAGGCAGTTAGGAAGGTTGTAAAGTTAAGGACAGCACCTAAACTCGAAGAAAACAATCTTCTAACGCCCCTAAACGGTGCAGTTTTTGAGTGGACAGCAAATTACAGCAAGGGGTGGAGTCACATGGGTGATTAGGGTAGGATCTGAGGTGGAAACAGCACTTAAATGCTGTGGACAAGCTCTAAATGCCTCTAAATGGTGCAGTTTTTGAGTGGACAGCAATCTAACACCACTAGGAATAATAACCTAAGTGTGTAGGGAGACTTCTAAGGTGTGGACAGCAATTAGGACTTCAATCAGAGACTCCCAACGACCTCTAAACACTGCAGGAATTAAAAGGCAGCAGCCAAACAAGTGTTTAGATTCCTTAAACAACCTCTAACAGCTGCAGGAACAGTGAGGACAACAGTGTTAAATCAAGGTGTAGTTGCTCTTAACACTTAGGAACCTTACAAACAAAAGACCAACACAAATACACAAGCTAAAATGAACGAACTCAGCTAGATGCTTGCAGTAAATGCGAAAAAAAACAGTAATGAAAACAGTGAAAAATTTCTATCTACGCAATGATATGCATGTAAGTTTAGAACTACAACGAGAAGCTAGACCCTAGGATGTTTTCTAAACATGTCAAGCATGGTGACCATGCCCTGATACCAAGTATGATGTGAAACAAACATGGGAAAACATGAATTGCACTTTAGAGATTAGTGAAAGCTTTAACTTTGCAACTTTAACAATAAAATATAGCTTACTCAAGTAAGATTCAAAAAAAATTCGTGATAGATTAAGTGATAGGCATCGATTACACTTGAGGATTACAAGAGTCTTGCAAAAGATAACCAAAAGATAACTAAATAATGCAAATAGCTATTACTAAAGCCACACATTTAAAATTTAGACCATTCACCTTGGGGTCCGTCAATCTCTCTTTGATATGGAGGTTAGCGGAAGAGGGTCGCAAGAAAACTTAGCGATACCACTAAGACACATGTGATGCCGAGAGGACTCGTCGCCGGGCAAGAAGCGGGAGTTGGAGAAGCGGGCGGATGACTTTCGATGATCCACGTGTAGTCGGAGAATTGGTCGTCGAAGGCGTCCACTAGTGTCGGCAAAATCCGATCCAAGTAATCTTCGACGATATTGTCAAGCCGAATCCCACGTGAAGAAAGGAGATCTTAAGACGTGGAGATCTCCGTAGATATCGTAGAAGAGCCGGTGATCAACGGCTGATCGCCATCCACCATGGATTTGAAGACGAGCAATCACACAAGCAACCCAACAATGGAAGAAAGAGGAGGAGGGCGGTCGGCGGGTTTAGGAGGGGGAAGGAGAGGCTGGCGGTAGAGATAGGGAGAGAAGGGTGAGGGTTAATAGAAAACTGAAATTAGTTTAGTAATAAGGTTTAGAGAGGGAAATATTTGAAGATTTAAATTTTGAATTCCAAATTAAAGGGAAATTATGGCTCATTCAATGGAGAGGGAGAATAGGGGCCGGCGGGCATCATAGGTGGGCTAGGGTTTGTGAAAACTGAATAATTTTCAGTTTTAAGTGAAATTTTGAGGGATTTATTTTGAAATTAAAGTTTAATTTCAAAATAGGGAGGGGGATAATTGGTGCAATTTAATGGGAAGCACAAAGAGGGGTCCGACCATGTAGAAGAGTGGAGAGATTGGAGTATTTAAGTAGGTGGGGACCACATTAATTAATCAAAATTTGAAATTAGAATTTCATATTTTTTTAATTATATCATGTAACTCCCTAATTTAAGTAAAATTAGGAGGGAATTGAATTTCAAAAGATTGTAACTCCTCTTAATTAATTCCCTAATTTAAGGACTCAATTAGGAAGGTCATTAAGGGAGGGAAATTCAAATTGCAAGGAGGGCTAAAGGGGGGAAGTCGGCGGCAAGGGCTCAGGGTGGCCGGCGGCAAAGGGATCTACGGGTTACTGGCTGGTCGGCGGGAAGGGAGTTGCAGGCCGGCGGGTTGGGCTATGCAGGCCGACGACTTGGGCTGTCCAGGAGGGCCGGCGGTAGGGAGCAAGGGAGGAAAGATCTTAGGGAGAATTTTGAGGGATCCAAGGAGCAAGAATCCAATTTTCCACAAGTTCTTCAACCGAATCTCCACGACGACGAATCGCTCAAGAGAAAGAAAGAAAACAAAACTATTAGATCAAGAAAACCTAGAACTCATAAAGAGATCTAGCTTCTCCTATGAAATCACTAAGAGATCGTGGAGGTTTGCACTCACAAAGAGAATATGAAATGTCAAAAAATATCATTCATCAATCTTTCCATACAATGCATGAGGCCTCAAATAAATAGGCCAAAATGAAAGAGAAAAAAGACATAAATGCCCTTTCAGGCTACATAAGCGACTCAATGCCCACAGGGGCGAACTAGGAAAACAGAAAATACAATCATCAAATAAAATGCAAATAAATCAGAAGTAGAGGCTATTGAATCGTCGCCGTCTATCTGCGTCTCTGGCGATGGTACACGTGTCGAAATCTGATGTCCTCATCAGTAATATTTCCTTGTGCCATATCCAACTTCCTCCATGATATGAAATCCAGAAATTTTAGTTTGATTTTTTCCTCGAGCCTTTTATTTTATTTCTTTGTGGTATAATCATTTATTTTGGATGTCCCTTTGTACATAGTTACGCCAATGTCATTTAGGGGGATTTACAACATAGCACTCGAAGCAACTTAATTTACAAATTTCACACATAAAATTTTCTATTTATAAAAATAACACCCAGTAACTGGAGTTGGAATTCTCATTGGGTCTCACTAGACCAATTTTTTTTTTTCCGGTCCCATCACATTGCCCTAGCAAGCTATGTCACAACTTCCTTTTCCATATGCCGCTGTCGTCAATGACATGCCTTAGTGAGCTCCATTCCTTTTCCCTATCAAGCTCTATCGGGACTTCCACTGGCAGAATGTGTTGAAGGCGACGGGATTGGCCACATGTGAAGGTGGCAACGACTATAGGATCGATAGCGTGCGAATGTAGGCGGGACGCGGTAATTGAGGAAATCGATTTTAAAATTTTTAGTGCTAGAAATGTAAATTAAGTTAGATGTGAAAAATATAAATTAAGATGTTTCGATTGCCATTTATGTAAATCCCCCCTTTCATTTAATGCAACCAGACATGATTTTCATTTCCACTATATTCACAGATATCCTTTTGATTTGTTGAATGCTTGTATTTATGTTGCTTATATTTTTGCCTTTTTTTTTTCTTTCCTCTAATATATTTAATAAGGCATGGATGACCTGTAAGTTTTTATTTCAGGACTGGCCTTCTAGTTATTTTGCTATTATGCCTCTGTTGAATTCCTTTGCAACAAATTTATTTTGCAAATGTATGTTTTCTTGGAAATTTCTTTTTTTAGTCATATTAGTACGGCTTTCAAAAGTGAAAACCGTTTTTTTTTTGCTGTTGCAGATATACTAAGTATACTATTACATCATTGGAGAAAACTTACAAACCCAAACTTTATCCAGAGCCAGATCTTGGAATTCCTCTTGATCTTCTAGACATTTGTGTGTACAAGTATGGAATCTTCTACTATTGAGCCATTCCTCTTCTTTTTCCATAATATTTATTGTGTAGTGAATTAATTGCTGTCTATATCTAGTCTGCCTGCTGTTTGCCCACCCCTTGCTCCAGAAGACGAGGAGTTACTGCGCGACACTGAGGTAGAAACCCCCATCAAGCAGGGTGGTATTCGAAAGAAAGAGCGCCCTACAGAAAAGGGGGTTTCATGGTTGGTTAATACAGAATATATTTCCTCTCTTAGCATGGACACTGCCAAAACGGTATGGCATATTTTCCTGCAACATTCTTCTAATATTTAGTAAAAATTCCGCCATGATTTGTAATAAGATGTTTATTGATATTGCCAGTCCATGTCTGAGAAGCAAGCAAAAGAAATGCGACAGTCCAGGGAAGGTCGGAATCAATTTTTGGAAAACCTGAATAGTAGGTAGGTTAATGTATTTTTTCAAGCGCATATGATCCTTTCAAACATTGACAACTGTCATTTGTGTCCATTAATATTTTGTACTTCTCAGAGAAAAGCAGATTCAGGCTATTGAAGAATCCTTTAAGGCTTCCAACTTACCTCCTGTCCATCAAACTAATCGTTCATTGAAACCTGTGAAGATTATGCCTTTGCTACCTGATTTTGAGCGGTAAGTGACTGTTTTTATGTCATTAAGTTCAATAATTTTTGTTCAATAGCATTGTAGATTCCTTGTAGACATCCAGTTGTGATTTTTTCTCGACAGTAGCTTCTACTTCGTAATAAATGTTATGGGAAACGAGAAAGAGAGTCTTTAACAAAAAATACTGAAGTACTTGCACCAGGAAAATTAAATTGGCCGTCTGATGGTTACTTTGGAAAATTTGAAATAAATTTAACCTTTCTAAGGATCAACTTGTTGATGGATTATAAAGCTGTACTGCAATATTTTATGATTTTGTTATTCGTAGTTTCTGGACTGTTAAAAGTTGTTGATTTTTTGACCCAAATCTAAAGTTCTATTGATTAGAAACGCAAAGCATTCGTGATTATATTGCTTTAGCTGTTTCTAAGCCTTAGTTAATGTTTGCCTAATTTACTTTCATGTAAAACATGCCTATAGTAGTCATTCTATTGAGAATAAGTTATGATCTCTTCGTTGATTTGATGGTTCTGTGTTAGTTTAGTGTAGCTGTTGGTTATCCATTTGTGGTCCAGCCATTATTCTAGAAATTTTGCATTTCCACAGTCAGATCCTTTTTGTTGCCACTGTTTGCTTGCTATCGCTGCTGTTTTGATCGCTGATGGAGTTGGTTTTAGCTTGTGTTCGACTGTTGCTTCTTTATTTGCCTTGGCTTCCGTTTCTTTATTTTTCCGAGTGCAGTATTCTCTAATGTAGCAGAGATCAGAATTCCTGCTGATTGCCGCTGATGGAGCTGATGTTTAACATTCCTTTACTACAGCAGATGCCGCTGATTTGGAAGTAATCATCCTGGGACTGATTCCCCCTTTTTCTTAAGTGCTACTTTCCTGCTTAGGCCCTATTTGATTCTCTTTGAGGGCTGTTTATTTGTTGAAAACATAATGTAGAGTGAAAAGACTATAGTATATTGAAAATATTTTTGAAATATTTAGTTGAATACATTTTAAATGCAGGAGTTAATTTTTTTTGTGTTAGTTTTGAAATAAAATTAATTCGGTGTAAAAAGTGTCGTGGCAGCTGTCATCGGATGGTATTGGCTATTAGAAGCCCACAAATTTTGAAAGGGGGCCAATGGTTTTCGTCTAGGGCAGGGGGTTGACGGCGGTTGATCACCGTTCACACAAATAGTATATATGGAATATGTCAAAATTTTGCAAATTTTAAATACATTGAAAATGAACTAGATCATGGATTTCAAATACATTAAAAATTTACTTCGCATATGCTTTACAACCTTCACTACTAAGCAAACACCAAAATTTTTAAGTCCTGCATTTAATTTGCTTTACACTAGGATAGGTTCGTTAAGTTTAGTTTATGGTTTAATAAAAATTCAAATTTCCTTAATGAGTTTATGTGTTACTGGATGTGGATTCTTCATGCTTTTCAAGTCTTAAAGACTACTTTTGGGGGCGATTCTCCTTGTACTGATGTTAGATTGGGATCTTCCATTTGATGATTTCTATCATTATTCTTTCATCTAAAATGATCTGTGTTTGGTTTATGCATAATTGAGACCTTATCTAGTTTGATACATACTGGCTTCCATTTTCAGGGTGTGAATTTTAATCACTATAGAATCATATATTCATTCTTTAATTTGTTGGTCAATTTTAGATTTTGACCATTTTTACTTATCATGTGGAATGAATGAGGTATTGGAGGAGATTTAAATAGATATCTTGGTAAAGAGGTAGAATATTTCAAAAGTATTCATGATAGTTATAGGTTTAGAATAACTAATGAAGTTGGTAGGACCATATTAGATTTTGCTCTAGCTTATGATTTTATAATTGCTAATAATTTTTTTAAGAAAAGAGGAATATCATATCACTTATAAGAATGGATATACTAAAACTCAGATTGATAATTATCTTATTAGGAAAATAGATCTATTAGATTGCAAATATTGTAAAATTATTTCTAGTGAAAGTTTATGTACCTAGCATCACTTATTAGTTTTGGACTTTAAGATGAGGGGCGAAATATAAAAATTAAAGTAAAATACTGTCTTAAGATTAAATGAGGGCATTTAAAAAATACTTAAAAAATATTTTTAAGAGTAAGATTCAAGATCTTTTGATTTTTATTATGCATGAGGAAACTAATGTTATGTCGGGAAAGTAATTAGTGATATTAAAAATGTTGTAAAGGATGTGCTTGGAGCATTAAAAGAGAAATCTCCTAATAGTAAAAATAGTTAGCAGTGAAATCAAAATGTACAAAAAAAGATTAAAAAACTTTATTATAAAAATTGGTTTAGGTGTAATAGCTCAGAAAATTGGGAATGTATAAAGATGCTCGTAAAGAGTCTAAGAAAGCAATATGCGAAGCTTTTAATGATTTATATATTAGGTTAGATACTAAGAATGATGAAATATATATATAAGTTAGCCAAACAAAGAGATAGGAGAAGTAAGGATTTAGTTCAACTGAAGTGTATTAAGGATGAGATCAAAATGTGCTTTTGTTAGAAGAGGATATTCAACAAAGGTGGATGAGATATTTTGATAAGTTTTTTCAATAAAGATTGTTAGAATTTGATTGACTTTAGTGACCTTAGCACCCTAAATGAAAATATAGATTTTTAGTTTTATCGGCGTATCAGTAAAATCAAAGTTAGAGAGGTTTTAAAGAAAATGAAGTGTTAAAAAAATGTTGGACCTAATGATATTCCAATAAATATATGGAAATGCTTAGGAGATGAAGGAATTTCTTGGCTTACGAAACTTTTCAATATTATTTTGAAGACTAAAAAGATGTCATATGAGTGAAGGAGTCTGTTGATTCCTATTTTTAAGAGCAAAGGTGACGCAAAAGAGTGTACGAATTATAGGGGAATTAAGTTAATGTTTGATACTTTAAAACTATGGGAGAGAGTTATTAAGAATATGTTACAATGTGATACTAATGTTTCTCAAAATCAATTTGGATTAATGCTGGATAGGCATACTATGGATGCTATACATTTATTGAGAGGTTTGATGGAGATGTATACAGAGAATAAGGAGGATCTATATATGATTTTATTGATTTAGAAAAAAAACAAATAAGAAAGTTCCAAGAGAAGTGCTATGGAGAGTTCTAGAAAGAAAGATGTTAATAATGCTTGTATTCAACTCATTAAAGATATGTTCAAACACAAGGTGTTTTTATAGTGCATTTTTTATTTCAGTTGAATTACATCAAGGATCAACTTTAAGCCCATATCTTTTTGCTCTAGTCATGGATGTTCTTAGTTCTTACAAGACAATTTGCAAGAGGATGTACCATGGTGTATGCTTTTTGCTGATGATATTGTTCTTGTTGATAAAAATGGAGAGGGAGTTGAAGAAAAACTTGAACTATGGAGGTCAATCTTAGAGTATAAAGGTTTTCGTTTGAGTAGATCTAAAACTAAATACATGGAGTGTAATGTTAGTGGTGTTAGATCTAGTGGGGTGCTGTGACCTTGGGGCGATCAAATGATTAATAAGAATACACATTTTAGATATTTCGGGTCCTTTTGTTCAATGTAATGGTGAAATAAATGGGAATAATATTAGTAGAATTCAAGTTGGATGGTTGAAGTAAAGGAATGCATCAAGCCAGTTGTGTGATAAAAAAGTACCCCTCAAACTTAAGGGAAAATCGCCTAAGATGGTGGTGAGACCTGCAATGCTTTATGGCGCAGAATGTTGTTCATTAAAAGAGAAGCATACAATTAAGTTATGTGTTGCAGAGATGAGGATGCTTAGGTGGTTGAGTGGCTTTACTTTTAGAGATATGATGCGAAACGAGCATATATGTTAAATGGTTGGAGTAGCTCCAGTGGCAAATAAGATTAGAGAGAGTTGCCTTAGATGGTTTGGTCATATAAATTGTTGGCCTCCTGATGACCCGGTTAGAAGAGTAGATGTATTAGATTTGACCTGTATTAAGACAAATAGAGGTAGACATAAAAAGTCTTGGTTAAAAAATATTGGAAATGATTTTTTTTACTAGATTTAAATGAAACTTTGACTCTTAACATAACGCAATGGAGAAAAATGATTCATGTAACTGACCCCACATAGTGGGGTAAAAGCTTGATGTTGTTGTTGCATGTAGAATGAATGAGGTGTATTTTTTCTTTATGTTAAATCAAACTAGACTAATATTTGCTTAAGTCAATAATTGGGATATTGCAGTTTTTGGTCTTTTGTATGCTTCATTTCACATCTCGCACTAGGTTTGCTTTAAAGAACCATTCATCTTAAGCCGTCCTAATCATGCTCTTTAAGGCAGCAGTCATGCGCTATCTAATTGTTGGGCGGTCATTTAATCTTAATGATTTTCTGAAAAGTAATTATTTAGAGAATGCTTGGATTTCCTCTTTTTTTACCTCCTAACTTTATCTAGTGCAGAAAATTTTAGCAGGTTTCACAGCACCCTGCTTTATGTTAAACCCAAATACTTGGAATAAGGCTAATGATCATGGTGTCATTATTTTAGTTTCATTAAGGCAACTGCATTCTTCTTCAGCATCGATAGTAGAAAAGTCAGCATAAGGTTTGAGTAATTGTAACTAGAACATGCTTATTTAAAGAATAAACATCATTTCAACAGATTCCTGGGGGGTAAAAATAGGATTTCTACTGTATTCAAGCTTATCTTGAAACTTTGGCATTGGAATGGAGTTTTTTGTTTTACAGGGCATTTAATATTCTTTTATGTGAATGCTAATCATTTTATATTTCAATTTTCTGCACTTTGAAATCATCATTTGCATGTGGTTAACATCTACATGATAAAGGATTCATTTAACATATTAATATGTTTTCTTTGGCTTTTTATTTACTTCGATATCACAATGTTGATGGATTTGTTGACTTTCCAGCTAGTTTTTCTCAGAAGGTCAACATATTTTTCTTGTTAGGTATGACGATCGTTTTGTGCTGGCATCATTTGATGGTGAACCTACTGCTGATGTGGAGATGTATAACAAATTAGATAGATCCATGCGTGATGATCATGAATCACAGGCAATCATCTTTGCATTTTTCTTGGAATTTCACTCTCTTGTCCTATGAAATTCAGATATGACAACCTAATTTTGTTTGTTACAAAGTTGTATAATATTTGTTATTCTTATCCTTAATATTATTCAACTAATTTCATGTTATTGCAATTATTGATTTGCTTTAGCATATCAGTTTTTTCTTTATGAAGTAAATAGAATTGTATCACATTTTTTTTTCTTTCCCTTTTGTTGACCTTTTTGAGAGGTGTACTTGCTGTATGTTATTACTCTTATAGACTCATAATCAAACAAGATATATGCATACTTCCTAGAGTAGTTGATTTTTCCCTTGTATGATTATGATTTTTTTCACCTTATGTTTTCATTTAAGAATAGTTACCTCATGGGTTTTGTTTTTATTCTTTCATCTAGCTGGTAAGGAAGCTTTTGTCATGCTTTATGTTGACCCACCTTGATCAAACATGAGATGTAGCAGAGGCGGGCAGCCCAGCTACACATTTCTCTCCAATGCCCATCCCGACTCTTATAAAGCAAGATCAAGCGGGTTGAAAATCTGTCAAGCCTAGATTGTCATAAAGCCTTAAACTCTTTCCATGATCATCAAATAGATCCATCACAATAATTCTTATGGAAGCATACATAATTAAATTCATCCATAATAAACTATAGAACTTCTAATCAGCCTCATATATATAATGAACACAAACTGTTCTTTTTAATATGTATCATAAATATGCTTCTTCTCTGATTCACTAAAACTGTCCAACAAAAGCACTGAAATGAAAGGCAATAATAGGATCAACGCACCAAGTCCCAACTACTATTTCTCCTTATCTGAAATAATGTTAGACCGGTCACTATTGGACTTGTCTAACCGGCCCTTGCCAAGGGCCGACTCACGTATATAGGAGGCGGGCAGCAAGAGAGAGGGAGAGGGAGATGGGGCTAATTCAAATTCAATTATTTTGGAGCCAAAGGAGGGAGCGGCAAGGGAAAATTTGTCCTTTGGGGCTTAATTGATTAATTGCATGCTTTAAGTAGGAAGGGAAGATTAGGATTAGGGTACGCTTTGTTTTGGTGGCTGATTTTCGGAGTTCTTGTCTTGGTGTCTTGGGCCATAGATTCGTCTAGGGATTGGGAGAGAAAAATCCTCCTCTCGAATTGAGATCAATTGTATCTTGCTTTATTGCTTATGTTGTTTGAATTCCATCGTAAAAAACTACTTTTTTGCTATTTTTTTTACATTTAATTTGTGAAACTTTCTCGTTGTTTTCATCAATCTTGTTAGGGTTTACTTGAAATATTTAAGTATTTCCTATCAAATTGGTAACATAGCATATTTTGGGACCGTTTGTGAGTTGTTTTCTGAAATTTAAGCAGCTATTTTTTGTCCGGAGGAAGAGTTCTTGCTGTTTTTTGGGGCCAATATTTAGATTTTTGAATAAAAACAAAACCGGGTATTGATAGCGGCCAAGAATGTTGATACGTTGAAAAAAGGCCTTGAAGGGGAGATGAGCCAGATGAAAGCAATGGTGGAAGGTCGAATTTCATCAGTAGAAGACAAAGTTTCCGATCTTCATGCGATGGTGAAGAAGCTATTGGAAAATCAAATTCAAACGTCAGCATCAGAGAAAGGGATCGATGTGAAGAATTATGAATTCTGAATTTCGTAGGAGGGAAAATGATGTGAAGATCTTGGAGGAGAAAGAGGAAGGTATGGAGAGAAGCGTGGACATGGGGGGCATGAATTAAGGGGTGCTGCTCGGGAGAGAAAAGAGGGAATTTATGGTGGGAGGGGTGCTTATTTTGGAGAAAGAATGGGAGAAAGTGAAGAGGGGCTTGAAGATGAGCTGGGAAGGGGAGATCGGGAGACTTGGGGAGAGCCGAGAACTTGTGAACAGGGAAATCATGGAGGAATACAAGGAAATGGGGGAAATCCTAAGGTGAGGAAGCTGAAGACCCATTTTTGAAGGGGAAGGTGCACACTGGTGGATCTAAAAGGTGGAGAAATATTTTGCCATCAATGGGTTGACGGAGGAAGAGAAGTTGACAGCAGTAGGCTTATGTTTAGAGGGGAAGGTGTTGTCGTGGTATCAATGGAGGGACCAGAGGAGACCCATACGGAGTTGGAGGGAATTCAAGGAATACTTATTGGAGCGTTTTCGAATCGGCAGGGGATGAGACTTAAATGAGCAGTTCTTTGCACTAGTGCAGGACGTATTAGTGGCAGACTATCGTGAAAGATTTGAACAGTTGGCCTGTAGGGTGGAGTGAGTCAGAGACGACTGTGGAGAGAAATTTCATGAAAGGGCTCAAATTAGAAATCCGGGCAGCAGGGCGGGTCATTAGGCCTCGTGACTTGAGAGAGGCAATGGAGCTGGCGCAGTTGGTGGAAGATCAAAAATATCAAGAGAGGGGAGCCAGGAGCAGCAACTCTGGTGGTTCTTATAGGATGACCACCACTCTTCTAGCACCCAATGGTCATGCAGTAGGAGGTTTTCGTGAGACTCCCAGGGAGAAGCCTGTAGGAGGAAGAAGTGGGGGAAATTTCAAAAGACTGATGGAGAGGGAGATGCAGGAGAAGAGGGCGAAGTGGCTATGCTTCATGTGTGATGAGTACATGCCAGGGTATAGGTGTAGAGATCGAACTCTTCAGGTTCTCACCGTCTATGATGACGAGGAAACTGAGGGGGGAGGTGAGGAGGGGGAAGTAGAGGAAGAGATGGAAGAAAAGCTGCACCTGGATGTGGCAGTGGTATCCCTAAATTCAATGATAGGATTCACCTCGAATCATACCATGAAGGTGAAGAGGAAAATATCTGATATGGAGGTGATGGTGTTGATTAATAGTGGGGCTACCCACAATTTCATTTCCAACTATATGGTGAACCAATTGGGGATGAAATTGGTGGATACAGGGTGTTATGGAGTGATGATGGGCACATGGAAGGTGGAGAAGGGAATATGTAGGAGAGTGGTGTTGACCATACATGGGGTACAAGTGATGGAGGATTTTCTCCCATTGGAGTTAGAGAGCACTGATGCCATTCTAGGAGTGAAGTGGCTGCAGACCTTGGGAGACACCAAGGTCAATTGGAAGGCATTAATAATGGAACTGATAGTGGAAGGGAGAAGAGTAGTGATAAGAAGAGATGTGGGGCTCTCCAAAGCCTTTGTGTCACTTTAAACCATGGTGAGGAGTATCCAAGAAGTGGGGGAAGGGTACTTGGTGGAACTACACAAGTTAGAGGGGATCAGATTGGAGGAAGGAGGGGAAGTTCCTCTTTCATTACGGCCATTGATTCAATAATTCAGTGAGGTTTTTCAGCCACCTCAGGGATTGTCACCACAAAGAGAGCAGGACCATGCTATCACTTTGAAGGAAGTTGTGTCACCCATCAGTGTTCGACCTTACCACTATCCATAGTTTCAGAAGGGTGAGATTGACAAGCTGATTAGAGAGATTCTGGAAGCAGGGATTATTAGTCCCAGTATTAGCCCCTTTTTTAGCCTAGTATTACTGGTTAAAAAAAAGATGGGAGTTGGAGGTTTTGTGTGGACTATAGGGCAGTCAATAAGGAAATTGTGTCAACAAGTTTCTCATTCCAGTGATCAATGAGCTGCTAGATGAGTTGAGTGGAACAGTTATCTTCACCAAGATAGATTTTAAGTCCTGATACCATCAGATCAGGATGAAGGAGGATGTACCCAAGACTGCTTTCAAAAATCATGAGTGGCATTATGAATTTTAATGATGCCTTTTGGCCTGAATAATGCCCTAGCCACTTTTTAGTCCCTCATGAACAAGGTATTAAGACCTCATCTTAGGAGATTTATGCTGGTTTTCTTTGATGATATCCTTGTTTATAGAAAGTCAAAGGAGGAGCACGGGAAGCCCTTGAGGAGGGTGTTAGAAGTATTACATGAGCACCAACTGAGGGCCAAAATGAAGAAGTTTGTTTTGCCCAAACCAGTGTAGAGTATTTGGAGCATATTGTATTTGGAGGGGGTGGCAACAGATTAAGCAAAAATTGAGGCTATGTTGAGGTGGCTAGTGCTTAAGAATCTCAAGGAGCTGAGGGGATTCCTAGGACTGACATGATACTATATGAGGTTTGTGAAGGGGTACAACGCCATCACATGACCACTAACAGGACAATTGAAGAAGGTCGTGATTACTGTACCAGTTTTGTCCCTACTAGATTTCACTAAAGTCTTCATTGTGTAGACAGATGCCTTAGGATATGGATTGGGGGCAGTACTCATACGGAACCGTCGATCCATTGCCTATTTCATCCAAGTGTTGACAGTTAGGGTTAGATTGAAATAAGTTTACGAGAGGGAGTTGTGGCCATTGTATTAGCCTCCAGAAGTAGCTTCCCTACTTATTAGGTAGGCATTTCATTGTCAGGACGGATCAACAGAGCCTGAAGTACTTGTTGGAGCAACAGATGGTGACAAACGAGCTTCAGAGGTGGCTATCCAAATTGTTGGGGTGTGATTTTGAAATCCAGTATAGGTCAGGAGTGCAGAACAAGGCGGTAGATGCCTTGTCCAAATGTATGGGGGAGATACAGGTGATATCATTGTCAATCCCACTGATGTTAGATTGGGAGGCGATTAAAGAGGAGAATGTTCGGGATGAGTAGTTGGGGAATGTTAGGACTGATTTATTGAAGGAGGGGAGTAGCCACCCAGGGTATTCGTTGGAAGGGGAGAGGCTTCTATACCATGGGAGGTTTGTGATGCATAGGACATCAATCTACATTCCACACTTGCTTCAAGAATTCCATGGGAGCAAAAGACGTACTAGAGACTAGCCTTAGAATTGTACTGGAAGAGGATGTACAAGGATGTGGAGGAGATGGTAGTCTGATGTGAGATATGTCAGAGGAATAAGTATACAACCATGTCTCTAGGAGGATTACTATAGCCACAAGCTTTGCCAGGTGGGGTGTGGGAAGAGGTATCTATGGACTTTATAGATGGATTGCCCATATC